ATTCTTTCCACGATAGACTATCACAGCATAGCCCTTGGCAGTTTTGTCTACGGAAACTAACACCCCACCACTCTCAGCCTCAAGAGAAACTGCAATATGCTTGACTTGTGAAAATGTTTTTCGGTCTACAAGTATCTTTACCAACTCTCGATACTTCCAATGTAAGTGCATATTTTCTATAGTGCCATCAAAAACTTCTCGCCTCCCTACAGTCAAAAGATAACAATAAGCCCAGTTCTGTACCCCATTAATCTAATATATTACACGGGATGAAATTCTTACCTAGAAGCAAATAAGGTTTCATGCTCAGACCAATCTTACGAAACAAAAACCTCTCCTCGTCACTTAAGGTTTCTAAATCAGTTGGTAGCTCCGAGGGTTCCAGACTTCCCTGTAGTTTCATTAAAGCCTTCTCAGCCTTTCTGATCTTCCCGCTTGCCTGCAGGCACATTAGAGTATATGGTAGTAAAAAATGTAAGTTCTAAACAAGTTCTTTCAAGAAAATGCTTAAATATCACAGCTCACAAGGGCTAGCTTCCTCTCAAGAAACTTGACCAAAGAAGCACGTCTAGCTATAGCCGAATCTCTCATCATTTTCTCTATTTCTGCACTGCTTGGCTCTTTTCCCCATCGTGAGGTAGCGGCTGTTGTCTCAGCAAGGGTCCCTGCAACTAAAGGCTGCTTAGCTGCTTCGGAATATGAAATAATAGATGTCGCTGCTTTCTGCCTTGCTCGTTCTTCGTCGTCCTGTTGGACTGCTACACGTTTCTCTACTTCTACCAGTGCATATGAAATACCAGGTGGCAAGAAGTCATTACCCCTGTAAAAGACAATATAGTCCTTGTTCCTGGAAAGTAATGTTCCTCCAGTTAATATCTGCATTAATGACATAGGATTAATCAATGCCGAGAACGCTGTTAAGCTAAATAATGATGTTTTGGGATTATGTTGGGAAAAAGTGACATTCATTCAAATATATAATTTTCACAATTATTAGTTTTTTGAACATTGTTGTTTGGTTCTTTCTTTGGAAGGTTATTTTTGAAATGTAGGCGGGGCAGTTGGATAAAAATTAGTAATTAACATAACCCGAAAGCAACTAGTACATGATCTATTTCAAACCTTAAGTTCTTCCGCCATCCTTTCATTCAAAGTATTTTGTACACCGCGTTTGATGGCTATCTTTGCAATAGCACTCTTCTTCCATAACTTCACCATGGCCATAGCAAGACCTTGCAATTCTCTGTTTCTTCCTAGATCATTAAGCAAATATAGCTAATAAAAAACAAAAATCTGAATATTAAATAAATTCACATATCATGTTGAGCATACCGAGGGCAAAATGTGGAAGCATTTTTCTGGCAGTTCTGCGAAAATATGTCATTTCTTTGTTCCGTAATGCTTGTCTAACCCCATTGGGAAGTAGTCTAAATGGGGGTCTATATCCTGGAACGACAGCAGGCAGCAAGTCTGCATCAACAGGCAGCGGTTCCGGACCTGACCAATCTATGAACCTTGGACCAAGCTCGTCTAAAAGAAGGTTGAGCTCACTTAGATCCATTAGCTCCTCTTCAGATAGACCATTCAAATACTTAGAAGTATAATTTTGAGATGATTCTGCAGCTCCAGATAACAGTTTCACGTTACCGCATTGAGTAACATCATTAACAGAATCTGACGAAGATCTAGCCTCAATATCAGCTTGAATACGTTTACTATATGCTTGCACACAATCAAGTTGGTAAGACATTCCTCTGTATAGAACTACCGAACTTCCTGATCTCCATATAACCAAACCTCCAGTTCTAGCCTAACAATTAAACAGCACAATATATGGAAGAAGAAATACACTTCATCATGAATTCTTGTAAACCGTGATACAAATAAATCGTAAAATTGAAATTTGAAGAGAAACTACAATGGTAAGAATGTAATGAACAAAGAAATAGTTTAATGCTCACGAAATTAGCAATTCAACTTGAAGGCAGCATTTACCCACTAGTACAATAAACATTTATTACAATTGGCAGTTAAATCATTCTTCTCTACTAAAAAACTTAAGATAAGTGGACACTTACCTCAAGAATCTCATGTGTCCTCTTCATGTTCTTTGAAGGAGGCCCTTCAAATTTCAATTTTACGATTTCCTCGTCCTTCCATTTCGCGTGGATTGCATCGGTTAATGCTTGTGTTATTCCCGCTGCCCCGACTTTCATTCTCTCTACCATCCTCAATGCCACATTTCTAAGCCTCTTCAGTTCAGGTTCCGGTATCAATTTTTCTGCCAACTCTGTATTACTCTTCCTTAACTTCTCCTCTTTCACAGGGTCCTCATTAGTTCCTCTCTGCCATGGTAATCTCATAGAATCACTAACATCATCTGATCCTTTTTTACTGCTGAATTCTTGAGAAATGCTCCGTGAATCCTCCACAAAAAAGGCATCTTCACTCTCGTCTTCAATCAAAATCTCATATTTTTCTGATAATCCTATAGGGATAGTATCAACCTTGCCACTTGTTTCATCACAATTGCAATCTAATTTAACTCCCTTTATCAAATCCCCAGAGTCTTCAACAACACTACCAAAAGCTTCATCATTTTTACAATGCTCAGAAAACCCATCAAGGTTTTGCCCTCTATGATTACTTTCTTCTTGAATTTTTTCTGTAGCTTGAGAATCAGGCAAGTCCTTCCTTGGTTTATTTCCATGAACCCAAGGAGCTAAAATCGACTTATTTCTTGAACTAGAGCTCGCAGAGCTATCCCCAGAAGTATTGTCCTCACTTACTGTCACAGTAACGACACCCTCAGATAACGGCAGCAGATGTTCTTCATAATCCTGAATCGAATCATCACTCTCTTGTTTATGTTCTTCCCAAGGGAATTTCTCTCTTAAAGAAGGGATTTTGAGGGACCATTTATCTTGAATTTTTTCAATAAAGCTTGGCCTGGGTTTTCTCTTCTTCTTTACAGGGTTGGTTTCGTGTTGAACGGATTTTGTGCAAGAAATTTTCAATTTTTGACCTCGAAATCTGTTTGAACAATGGGGTTGTGAGTGAAATGTGATCAAGTAGAAAGATTGAGAAGAATATGAAGATGAAGCAGAGAACAAATTCGAAGGCAGGGGTGAAGGAGCCATGGTGATGAGGTTGAAGAATCTCTGCGAGAACGAGCCTTAAAAAGATGGCCTGAAAATTTCTGACTAACCCAAATTGCCAATGAAAATGGGTTTAGGAATTTTACATAAATAGCATTAAATGTGGGAAACTATGATCGCTTGGCATCTTAATAGTTAATAGAATAGAACTAATGAATAGCTCAAGCACTTTACCTTAAAAATTTTAAATTATCTAATAGGGATGGGAAAATATTTCGCGACCGCCCGATATTACAGTGTCCTATCTCGAACAGAAGGAAATTTCTACTTCATTAGAAGATCATGGGAATGAAGAACATGGTCCCTGTCCCAAATTTCTTATACATTCCTAAATCTTATAATTTTAGAAAATATTAAAAAAATAATTAAACAACATATTAAATGGAGATATTATAATTCACGCTCCTCTCTTCTTCTCTCGATAATCTTGTCAAAGCGGTCTCATTTGCTTGACCTTATACCTTCAATTTTTTATTTTTTAAGACAATATCAAACACACCTCTCGAACTTTTACGCGCAATCACTTTTACTCATACCTCATATAAGTTGGGTTTATTATCAAGTAAAGAAGAAATTTTCTACAATTCGTGCAGTTATGGTTAATTCGTTCAAAGTAAACTATGTAAATATAAATTGACATATAGTAAATAGAATTCGTTTGACGTTGTTTAAATTTAACTATATGTAATTTTTTATTTTTTAAGACAATATCAAACACACCTCTCGAACTTTTACGCGCAATCACTTTTACTCATACCTCATATAAGTTGGGTTTATTATCAAGTAAAGAAGAAATTTTCTACAATTCGTGCAGTTATGGTTAATTCGTTCAAAGTAAACTATGTAAATATAAATTGACATATAGTAAATAGAATTCGTTTGACGTTGTTTAAATTTAACTATATGTATTTAGTTATTTTGTTTATAGGTAGGATTACTTTTGTGAACATTTATGTTTAGACATATATCAAATTTAATTTGACAAATTAGTTATTTACGAGTATAAATAAATATCAAATAATAAAAAATGATATTATGATATTCTTTTGAAATATTTTAATGATTAATATATTAAAATTCGACTGTATAACAATGTCATCATTAAATAATAAATTCTGAGGGTATGCAATGATTTAATGAATTAATGTATACTATATTTTAATTAAATTTTACTTGAATTGATTCAAAATAATATGTTTAGTAGACAAATAAGTGTACTTCAAGATATATTTTTCTTCTAGGTGGAGGAGTTGTATCTTCGAGAACTAGTAAGAAGTTATAATTGCATCTACTACAATGAAGGTAGAACTAATTGGTTTCTATAAAGCTACAACACTCACATTATTGTTGGGAAATTTCATCAAAGCGTTAAACGTTGTTGATACTATAGGGAAGCCTTTGAAGATTTATTGCGATAGTTCGATTGTACTTTTCTTTTCAAAAAATAATAAAAGTAGAAGTCGAAGTAAAAATATCACTATAAAATATCTGGTTGTTAGAGATCATAAAATGAAAAATAAAGTGATCAATGAGCATATCAAGAAAGATTTTGTGATAGCAGATCACGTGACTAAAGGCTTGTCAGATAAAGTTCATGAATAGCTTGTTGAGAACATGAGATTTGCTTGCACTATCATGGTACTCTAATTTTTTGTGTTTAAGATTGTTTTTTCTATGTTTTAAACGATGTTATTGGTGCAAAGTTTATGATCGATATTCAATTGTGATCCCCCCCCCCCCCCCCCCGGGGTCGTTATCGACCTTAAGAATGACTTTTCAACAAATCTTACATTTCATATTTCTATATACCGTGACTCTAAAAAAGAAACGAAGGCTATTAACTAATGGTTTAACTCTCTTCTGGTTAATGAAATAAAACCAATGTGCTCTAGCATTCTATGAACATGACAAGAATATCTTTAGTTAGAAACCAAGAAGCAATATGCTTTCAGTTGCATCGATCTATTTACAGGTCCGACTATCAATTATTGAAACAAGAGGATCCATGAAAGATACCGGTATACAACTTATATGACAGTGGAGAAGCTGATGAGCGAAGATCTTTATGTATATGAGATCCTGACCATCAATTCCATGCCAGGTGAAACACCTTGAGTACTCCTCTAGTTGGCTAAGATTCTTGATCTTCCTCAGTCAGCAAATATTTCAACCCTCTTGCTAAGGGACGAGTTATTTTCATGCGCTGCTGTCCTTACTGCTGTAATTTGTGTGAAGGTACGCCCTTTGATCTTCATCCTACATAGCATGAAAAAGAATTAACAGCAGACAAAAGACTGATGCCTTGAAACTACAAAAGCGAAAAGATTGACCGTCATGTTTCATATAAAAGGGATAGCACTAAAGTGATAAAGAAGACCGAATTTCGTCTCACCCCTTCCATATCCTCATCAGACGCATTATTTATTCTTGAGTACAAGGTCACTTCATCAATTTCACTTACGGTCTTCATATTTTCCTGTTATTACGTCATGAGTAATTAAGGATTAGATGTTTTGGACCAAGGGTAAGCTTAAAGCGATAAAATATTCATTAAAGAGCAATCATACTAGCTCAAGCTTTAGCTTCTCCATTTTCTCTTGCAGGTCTGAAATATGGTGCTTTAGTCCCTGAAAATTTTTAAACAGAGTTTTGTAATCAATATTAATATATTCAATAACGAGCCTGAAAAAAATGAAAAGTCGAACTGTAAAAACGAGTAAAAGTCATAAGATCACCTCACGTCTCTGAAGTTCAATCGAGCGGGCTAATGCCTGCCTTTTTGTCAGAAGATTTTTGGGCCTAAATGCACTAGGGCGTTGGTAATTCTTTCCACGATAGACTATCACAGCATAGCCCTTGGCAGTTTTGTCTACGGAAACTAACACCCCACCACTCTCAGCCTCAAGAGAAACTGCAATATGCTTGACTTGTGAAAATGTTTTTCGGTCTACAAGTATCTTTACCAACTCTCGATACTTCCAATGTAAGTGCATATTTTCTATAGTGCCATCAAAAACTTCTCGCCTCCCTACAGTCAAAAGATAACAATAAGCCCAGTTCTGTACCCCATTAATCTAATATATTACACGGGATGAAATTCTTACCTAGAAGCAAATAAGGTTTCATGCTCAGACCAATCTTACGAAACAAAAACCTCTCCTCGTCACTTAAGGTTTCTAAATCAGTTGGTAGCTCCGAGGGTTCCAGACTTCCCTGTAGTTTCATTAAAGCCTTCTCAGCCTTTCTGATCTTCCCGCTTGCCTGCAGGCACATTAGAGTATATGGTAGTAAAAAATGTAAGTTCTAAACAAGTTCTTTCAAGAAAATGCTTAAATATCACAGCTCACAAGGGCTAGCTTCCTCTCAAGAAACTTGACCAAAGAAGCACGTCTAGCTATAGCCGAATCTCTCATCATTTTCTCTATTTCTGCACTGCTTGGCTCTTTTCCCCATCGTGAGGTAGCGGCTGTTGTCTCAGCAAGGGTCCCTGCAACTAAAGGCTGCTTAGCTGCTTCGGAATATGAAATAATAGATGTCGCTGCTTTCTGCCTTGCTCGTTCTTCGTCGTCCTGTTGGACTGCTACACGTTTCTCTACTTCTACCAGTGCATATGAAATACCAGGTGGCAAGAAGTCATTACCCCTGTAAAAGACAATATAGTCCTTGTTCCTGGAAAGTAATGTTCCTCCAGTTAATATCTGCATTAATGACATAGGATTAATCAATGCCGAGAACGCTGTTAAGCTAAATAATGATGTTTTGGGATTATGTTGGGAAAAAGTGACATTCATTCAAATATATAATTTTCACAATTATTAGTTTTTTGAACATTGTTGTTTGGTTCTTTCTTTGGAAGGTTATTTTTGAAATGTAGGCGGGGCAGTTGGATAAAAATTAGTAATTAACATAACCCGAAAGCAACTAGTACATGATCTATTTCAAACCTTAAGTTCTTCCGCCATCCTTTCATTCAAAGTATTTTGTACACCGCGTTTGATGGCTATCTTTGCAATAGCACTCTTCTTCCATAACTTCACCATGGCCATAGCAAGACCTTGCAATTCTCTGTTTCTTCCTAAATCATTAAGCAAATATAGCTAATAAAAAACAAAAATCTGAATATTAAATAAATTCACATATCATGTTGAGCATACCGAGGGCAAAATGTGGAAGCATTTTTCTGGCAGTTCTGCGAAAATATGTCATTTCTTTGTTCCGTAATGCTTGTCTAACCCCATTGGGAAGTAGTCTAAATGGGGGTCTATATCCTGGAACGACAGCAGGCAGCAAGTCTGCATCAACAGGCAGTGGTTCCGGACCTGACCAATCCATGAACCTTGGACCAAGCTCGTCTAAAAGAAGGTTGAGCTCACTTAGATCCATTAGCTCCTCTTCAGATAGACCATTCAAATACTTAGAAGTATAATTTTGAGATGATTCTGCAGCTCCAGATAACAGTTTCACGTTACCGCATTGAGTAACATCATTAACAGAATCTGACGAAGATCTAGCCTCAATATCAGCTTGAATACGTTTACTATATGCTTGCACACAATCAAGTTGGTAAGACATTCCTCTGTATAGAACTACCGAACTTCCTGATCTCCATATAACCAAACCTCCAGTTCTAGCCTAACAATTAAACAGCACAATATATGGAAGAAGAAATACACTTCATCATGAATTCTTGTAAACCGTGATACAAATAAATCGTAAAATTGAAATTTGAAGAGAAACTACAACGGTAAGAATGTAATGAACAAAGAAATAGTTTAATGCTCACGAAATTAGCAATTCAACTTGAAGGCAGCATTTACCCACTAGTACAATAAACATTTATTACAATTGGCAGTTAAATCATTCTTCTCTACTAAAAAACTTAAGATAAGTGGACACTTACCTCAAGAATCTCATGTGTCCTCTTCATGTTCTTTGAAGGAGGCCCTTCAAATTTCAATTTTACGATTTCCTCGTCCTTCCATTTCGCGTGGATTGCATCGGTTAATGCTTGTGTTATTCCCGCTGCCCCGACTTTCATTCTCTCTACCATCCTCAATGCCACATTTCTAAGCCTCTTCAGTTCAGGTTCCGGTATCAATTTTTCTGCCAACTCTGTATTACTCTTCCTTAACTTCTCCTCTTTCACAGGGTCCTCATTAGTTCCTCTCTGCCATGGTAATCTCATAGAATCACTAACATCATCTGATCCTTTTTTACTGCTGAATTCTTGAGAAATGCTCCGTGAATCCTCCACAAAAAAGGCATCTTCACTCTCGTCTTCAATCAAAATCTCATATTTTTCTGATAATCCTATAGGGATAGTATCAACCTTGCCACTTGTTTCATCACAATTGCAATCTAATTTAACTCCCTTTATCAAATCCCCAGAGTCTTCAACAACACTACCAAAAGCTTCATCATTTTTACAATGCTCAGAAAACCCATCAAGGTTTTGCCCTCTATGATTACTTTCTTCTTGAATTTTTTCTGTAGCTTGAGAATCAGGCAAGTCCTTCCTTGGTTTATTTCCATGAACCCAAGGAGCTAAAATCGACTTATTTCTTGAACTAGAGCTCGCAGAGCTATCCCCAGAAGTATTATCCTCACTTACTGTCACAGTAACGACACCCTCAGATAACGGCAGCAGATGTTCTTCATAATCCTGAATCGAATCATCACTCTCTTGTTTATGTTCTTCCCAAGGGAATTTCTCTCTTAAAGAAGGGATTTTGAGGGACCATTTATCTTGAATTTTTTCAATAAAGCTTGGCCTGGGTTTTCTCTTCTTCTTTACAGGGTTGGTTTCGTGTTGAACGGATTTTGTGCAAGAAATTTTCAATTTTTGACCTCGAAATCTGTTTGAACAATGGGGTTGTGAGTGAAATGTGATCAAGTAGAAAGATTGAGAAGAATATGAAGATGAAGCAGAGAACAAATTCGAAGGCAGGGGTGAAGGAGCCATGGTGATGAGGTTGAAGAATCTCTGCGAGAACGAGCCTTAAAAAGATGGCCTGAAAATTTCTGACTAACCCAAATTGCCAATGAAAATGGGTTTAGGAATTTTACATAAATAGCATTAAATGTGGGAAACTATGATCACTTGGCATCTTAATAGTTAATAGAATAGAACTAATGAATAGCTCAAGCACTTTACCTTAAAAATTTTAAATTATCTAATAGGGATGGGAAAATATTTCGCGACCGCCCGATATTACAGTGTCCTATCTCGAACAGAAGGAAATTTCTACTTCATTAGAAGATCATGGGAATGAAGAACATGGTCCCTGTCCCAAATTTCTTATACATTCCTAAATCTTATAATTTTAGAAAATATTAAAAAAATAATTAAATAACATATTAAATGGAGATATTATAATTCACGCTTCTCTCTTCTTCTCTCGATAATCTTGTCAAAGCGGTCTCATTTGCTTGACCTTATACCTTTAATTTTTTATTTTTTAAGACAATATCAAACACACCTCTCGAACTTTTACGCGCAATCACTTTTACTCATACCTCATATAAGTTGGGTTTATTATCAAGTAAAGAAGAAATTTTCTACAATTCGTGCAGTTATGGTTAATTCGTTCAAAGTAAACTATGTAAATATAAATTGACATATAGTAAATAGAATTCGTTTGACGTTGTTTAAATTTAACTATATGTATTTAGTTATTTTGTTTATAGGTAGGATTACTTTTGTGAACATTTATGTTTAGACATATATCAAATTTAATTTGACAAATTAGTTATTTACGAGTATAAATAAATATCAAATAATAAAAAATGATATTATGATATTCTTTTGAAATATTTTAATGATTAATATATTAAAATTCGACTGTATAACAATGTCATCATTAAATAATAAATTCTGAGGGTATGCAATGATTTAATGAATTAATGTATACTATATTTTAATTAAATTTTACTTGAATTGATTCAAAATAATATGTTTAGTAGACAAATAAGTGTACTTCAAGATATATTTTTCTTCTAGGTGGAGGAGTTGTATCTTCGAGAACTAGTAAGAAGTTATAATTGCATCTACTACAATGAAGGTAGAACTAATTGGTTTCTATAAAGCTACAACACTCACATTATTGTTGGGAAATTTCATCAAAGCGTTAAACGTTGTTGATACTATAGGGAAGCCTTTGAAGATTTATTGCGATAGTTCGATTGTACTTTTCTTTTCAAAAAATAATAAAAGTAGAAGTCGAAGTAAAAATATCACTATAAAATATCTGGTTGTTAGAGATCATAAAATGAAAAATAAAGTGATCAATGAGCATATCAAGAAAGATTTTGTGATAGCAGATCACGTGACTAAAGGCTTGTCAGATAAAGTTCATGAATAGCTTGTTGAGAACATGAGATTTGCTTGCACTATCATGGTACTCTAATTTTTTGTGTTTAAGATTGTTTTTTCTATGTTTTAAACGATGTTATTGGTGCAAAGTTTATGATCGATATTCAATTGTGATTATTAAAGTTTAGACCCAAAATGACTTTAGGAAGTTTATTCATAAAATAAAGTATTCTTTCATAAGTGAACGTACTTGTAATTTATGGAAGGAAATATTTGGTTATGAAAAAAGGACATTCATGATTCAAGTATTGTGAGTTTCTATTTGAACAAGTTATTGGCAATTTCACTAATGATAACATCGAGTATCCACCTTAAAGTTGTGGACCAAGTGAAAAAATAAAACCATTTATGGTCTCATATTCAATTTAAAGTATGATTTTAATTAATGGTGGCTTAATTAACTTCACATATGGTTTATTAAATGGATGGAAGTTGTGTAGTGGTTGTCTACATTAAAATGTCAATGGATCCCTAGCCAAATTTGATACAAAATTCCTTCAGAATTTTTTTCTATTAAGTAAAAAATCATTTGTTTGTTCCATTAAGTAAAGGGTGTTATCAAGTGGGTCATGGCAAGAAGGCTTGTTGGAGCCACCGGCTAGCACTAACAGTGGTCCATGTTGAATCCGTCGTATTATAAAAAATAAAAAATAAATAAAAAAGATTTGTGTCAATTTATATATTTGTTTCGATATATATCTATAATTTCATTTATTCTCTTGCCGCTCGGCTGGTTAGAGCATCTGTTTAGTGAGTTGGAGGTCTTAAGTATTGGCGGATCGAACATTCGAGGTCCTGATCCGCCACTGATTGGAGCTATGCGATTTTTTTACTGCCAATTTTCAATTGTTAAATCTTAGAAAATATGTATGGATGTACTCATTTAATGTGTTACCCTCTGTGTGTATCAAATATGAATTATTCTGATAGACAAATATCCGTGCAAAAAAAAATAGATCAAGTCTTAGAGGAAGACAAAATGATTACATAATATAAGGGGTACCCCATGTAACGTCCCAAGTCAATTACTCTTTTATTTTATTTATAAAAACATAGAAATGTTACCAAATATCTCCTCTATCTAATTTAAGCAAAATTTTCTCTCTTTTTATTATTTATTTGATTTGATCAGTAAATTGATAAAGATAATTCAACGATTTAAATTGACCAATAAATTGATAAAGATAATCCAAAGGTTTAAATAAATTTAAATATGTTGTGAAAAGAGAAGAAAACAGAAAGAAATCAATAGACTTGTGTGTATTTTATTAAGAACCAAAGCTCTGTATTTATGGGGCAGAATCAGGGATACAACAGTAATTATTTCTAGGGCTGCAAGGGTGTAATTGCCATTCACCTCTAAACCCTAATAAACTTTCCTTTTACAACACTCCCCCTTGAATGACATATTACAAAATATCTGCCTCGTTAAAATCTTGTTTGATAAAAATCTAATGGGACAAAAATCAAAAAGAGTACAGTTATTTTAGAGTACTAAAAATAAATGCTGCCTCATTAAAATCTTGCTAGGAAAAATCAGTGGGACAAAACCTAAGCTAAGGAAAATAGTACAGCTACTCCCCCTGACGTTGATCACTGAAAATCTTTGAGTCGACGCTAAATAATGATGTTTTGGGATTATGTTGGGAAAAAGTGACATTCATTCAAATATATAATTTTCACAATTATTAGTTTTTTGAACTTTTATATTTCTCTTTCTTAAGACTATAGTTACATTGTTGTTTGGTTCTTTCTTTGGAAGGTTATTTTTGAAATGTAGGCGGGGCAGTTGGATAAAAATTAGTAATTAACATAACCCGAAAGCAACTAGTACATGATCTATTTCAAACCTTAAGTTCTTCCGCCATCCTTTCATTCAAAGTATTTTGTACACCGCGTTTGATGGCTATCTTTGCAATAGCACTCTTCTTCCATAACTTCACCATGGCCATAGCAAGACCTTGCAATTCTCTGTTTCTTCCTAGATCATTAAGCAAATATAGCTAATAAAAAACAAAAATCTGAATATTAAATAAATTCACATATCATGTTGAGCATACCGAGGGCAAAATGTGGAAGCATTTTTCTGGCAGTTCTGCGAAAATATGTCATTTCTTTGTTCCGTAATGCTTGTCTAACCCCATTGGGAAGTAGTCTAAATGGGGGTCTATATCCTGGAACGACAGCAGGCAGCAAGTCTGCATCAACAGGCAGCGGTTCCGGACCTGACCAATCTATGAACCTTGGACCAAGCTCGTCTAAAAGAAGGTTGAGCTCACTTAGATCCATTAGCTCCTCTTCAGATAGACCATTCAAATACTTAGAAGTATAATTTTGAGATGATTCTGCAGCTCCAGATAACAGTTTCACGTTACCGCATTGAGTAACATCATTAACAGAATCTGACGAAGATCTAGCCTCAATATCAGCTTGAATACGTTTACTATATGCTTGCACACAATCAAGTTGGTAAGACATTCCTCTGTATAGAACTACCGAACTTCCTGATCTCCATATAACCAAACCTCCAGTTCTAGCCTAACAATTAAACAGCACAATATATGGAAGAAGAAATACACTTCATCATGAATTCTTGTAAACCGTGATACAAATAAATCGTAAAATTGAAATTTGAAGAGAAACTACAATGGTAAGAATGTAATGAACAAAGAAATAGTTTAATGCTCACGAAATTAGCAATTCAACTTGAAGGCAGCATTTACCCACTAGTACAATAAACATTTATTACAATTGGCAGTTAAATCATTCTTCTCTACTAAAAAACTTAAGATAAGTGGACACTTACCTCAAGAATCTCATGTGTCCTCTTCATGTTCTTTGAAGGAGGCCCTTCAAATTTCAATTTTACGATTTCCTCGTCCTTCCATTTCGCGTGGATTGCATCGGTTAATGCTTGTGTTATTCCCGCTGCCCCGACTTTCATTCTCTCTACCATCCTCAATGCCACATTTCTAAGCCTCTTCAGTTCAGGTTCCGGTATCAATTTTTCTGCCAACTCTGTATTACTCTTCCTTAACTTCTCCTCTTTCACAGGGTCCTCATTAGTTCCTCTCTGCCATGGTAATCTCATAGAATCACTAACATCATCTGATCCTTTTTTACTGCTGAATTCTTGAGAAATGCTCCGTGAATCCTCCACAAAAAAGGCATCTTCACTCTCGTCTTCAATCAAAATCTCATATTTTTCTGATAATCCTATAGGGATAGTATCAACCTTGCCACTTGTTTCATCACAATTGCAATCTAATTTAACTCCCTTTATCAAATCCCCAGAGTCTTCAACAACACTACCAAAAGCTTCATCATTTTTACAATGCTCAGAAAACCCATCAAGGTTTTGCCCTCTATGATTACTTTCTTCTTGAATTTTTTCTGTAGCTTGAGAATCAGGCAAGTCCTTCCTTGGTTTATTTCCATGAACCCAAGGAGCTAAAATCGACTTATTTCTTGAACTAGAGCTCGCAGAGCTATCCCCAGAAGTATTGTCCTCACTTACTGTCACAGTAACGACACCCTCAGATAACGGCAGCAGATGTTCTTCATAATCCTGAATCGAATCATCACTCTCTTGTTTATGTTCTTCCCAAGGGAATTTCTCTCTTAAAGAAGGGATTTTGAGGGACCATTTATCTTGAATTTTTTCAATAAAGCTTGGCCTGGGTTTTCTCTTCTTCTTTACAGGGTTGGTTTCGTGTTGAACGGATTTTGTGCAAGAAATTTTCAATTTTTGACCTCGAAATCTGTTTGAACAATGGGGTTGTGAGTGAAATGTGATCAAGTAGAAAGATTGAGAAGAATATGAAGATGAAGCAGAGAACAAATTCGAAGGCAGGGGTGAAGGAGCCATGGTGATGAGGTTGAAGAATCTCTGCGAGAACGAGCCTTAAAAAGATGGCCTGAAAATTTCTGACTAACCCAAATTGCCAATGAAAATGGGTTTAGGAATTTTACATAAATAGCATTAAATGTGGGAAACTATGATCGCTTGGCATCTTAATAGTTAATAGAATAGAACTAATGAATAGCTCAAGCACTTTACCTTAAAAATTTTAAATTATCTAATAGGGATGGGAAAATATTTCGCGACCGCCCGATATTACAGTGTCCTATCTCGAACAGAAGGAAATTTCTACTTCATTAGAAGATCATGGGAATGAAGAACATGGTCCCTGTCCCAAATTTCTTATACATTCCTAAATCTTATAATTTTAGAAAATATTAAAAAAATAATTAAACAACATATTAAATGGAGATATTATAATTCACGCTCCTCTCTTCTTCTCTCGATAATCTTGTCAAAGCGGTCTCATTTGCTTGACCTTATACCTTCAATTTTTTATTTTTTAAGACAATATCAAACACACCTCTCGAACTTTTACGCGCAATCACTTTTACTCATACCTCATATAAGTTGGGTTTATTATCAAGTAAAGAAGAAATTTTCTACAATTCGTGCAGTTATGGTTAATTCGTTCAAAGTAAACTATGTAAATATAAATTGACATATAGTAAATAGAATTCGTTTGACGTTGTTTAAATTTAACTATATGTATTTAGTTATTTTGTTTATAGGTAGGATTACTTTTGTGAACATTTATGTTTAGACATATATCAAATTTAATTTGACAAATTAGTTATTTACGAGTATAAATAAATATCAAATAATAAAAAATGATATTATGATATTCTTTTGAAATATTTTAATGATTAATATATTAAAATTCGACTGTATAACACTGTCATCATTAAATAATAAATTCTGAGGGTATGCAATGATTTAATGAATTAATGTATACTATATTTTAATTAAATTTTACTTGAATTGATTCAAAATAATATGTTTAGTAGACAAATAAGTGTACTTCAAGATATATTTTTCTTCTAGGTGGAGGAGTTGTATCTTCGAGAACTAGTAAGAAGTTATAATTGCATCTACTACAATGAAGGTAGAACTAATTGGTTTCTATAAAGCTACAACACTCACATTATTGTTGGGAAATTTCATCAAAGCCTTAAACGTTGTTGATACTATAGGGAAGCCTTTGAAGATTTATTGCGATAGTTCGATTGTACTTTTCTTTTCAAAAAATAATAAAAGTAGAAGTCGAAGTAAAAATATCACTATAAAATATCTGGTTGTTAGAGATCATAAAATGAAAAATAAAGTGATCAATGAGCATATCAAGAAAGATTTTGTGATAGCAGATCACGTGACTAAAGGCTTGTCAGATAAAGTTCATGAATAGCTTGTTGAGAACATGAGATTTGCTTGCACTATCATGGTACTCTAATTTTTTGTGTTTAAGATTGTTTTTTCTATGTTTTAAACGATGTTATTGGTGCAAAGTTTATGATCGATATTCAATTGTGATTATTAAAGTTTAGACCCAAAATGACTTTAGGAAGTTTATTCATAAAATAAAGTATTCTTTCATAAGTGAACGTACTTGTAATATATGGAAGGAAATATTTGGTTATTAAAAAAGGACATTCATGATTCAAGTATTGTGAGTTTCTATTTGAACAAGTTATTGGCAATTTCACTAATGATAACATCGAGTATCCACCTTAAAGTTGTGGACCAAGTGAAAAAATAAAACCATTTATGGTCTCATATTCAATTTAAAGTATGATTTTAATTAATGGTGGCTTAATTAACTTCACATATGGTTTATTAAATGGATGGAAGTTGTGTAGTGGTTGTCTACATTAAAATGTCAATGGATCCCTAGCCAAATTTGATACAAAATTCCTTCAGAATTTTTTTCTATTAAGTAAAAAATCATTTGTTTGTTCCATTAAGTAAAGGGTGTTATCAAGTGGGTCATGGCAAGAAGGCTTGTTGGAGCCACCGGCTAGCACTAACAGTGGTCCATGTTGAATCCGTCGTATTA